TGCCAAAATTATGTGTTTTAGATCTGATAATGCACAGACGCTGGCTTGTATACAGTTTTTTGCTTATAAAGTGGTTGTACATCAGTTCAGTTGTGTGGAGAGACCTCAGCAAAATTCTGTTGTCGAACGGAAACACCAACATTTATTGAATGTTGCTCGAGCCTTGTTTTTCCAATCAAGGATTCCTATTCGTTACTGGTCTGAATGTGTGCTAACAGCTGCTTATCTCATCAATAGGACTCCCTCTCCTATTTTAAGACATAAAACTCCATATGAAGTTTTATATGGCAAGGCTGCTGATTATTCTTTTCTTCGAGTTTTTGGCTGCTTGAGTTTCGCTTCAACTTTGACTGCAAATAGGAATAAATTCCAGCCTCGTGCCAGAGTATGTGTGTTCCTAGGATATCCTTCAGGGGTTAAAGGATTCAAACTGCTTGATGTTGGTTCCAGAAAATTTTTTATCTCCAGAGATGTTGTGTTTCATGAGGAAACCTTCCCTTTCCATACCATAGTTCAGTCTGATGACTTACTTGATCCTTTTCCAGATTTGGTATTACCTTCCCCCAACCTATCCACGTCTCCTGAGTCGTTTGATAGATCTATCAATGATCAATCTGTTCATTCCTATCAGCAGCAAAATTTACACGATGCAGTCACTTCCTCTCCTTCTTCTGAATCAAACATACCTGACTCACCAAATGACTCACATTCTATCAGTACATCTGCTCTTGAAGTTCGAAAATCTACAAGATCTCTTCGACCTCCCAGATACCTTCATGATTACCACTGTAATCTGATTTCTCACCATAAATCCTTTATACCATATTCTCCTTATCACATTGGCAACTTTGTCTCATATAAAAACCTTTCAAGCTCTTATAAACATTTTGCCTTATCTGTCTCTTCACATTCTGAACCACAGTTTTTCCATCAAGCAGTTCGGTTTTCTCATTGGCGTGATGCCATGAAGCTTGAATTAAATGCCATGGAAGAGAATAAAACTTGGTCTGTTGTAAAGTTGCCACCTGGGAAGCATGCTGTTGGTTGCAGATGGATTTATAAAAATAAGTTCAAATCTGATGGCTCTCTTGAAAGGCATAAAGCACGCCTTGTTGCAAAGGGGTACACCCAGCAGGAAGGGCTTGATTACTTCGACACTTTCTCACCAGTGGCAAAGGCAGTAACTGTGAAACTTTTGCTCACACTCGCAGCACACTTTGGTTGGCACTTAATGCAATTGGATGTTAATAATGCATTTTTTAATGGGGATTTGTTTGAGGAGGTCTATATAGAACTTTCGCTTAGATATGATTTGATCAGGACATCCAAACAGGGGGAGAAATTAGTTTGTAAGCTGCATAAATCAATTTATGGCCTGAAACAGGCCTCTAGGCAATGGAATTCTAAATTTACTCAATCCCTTATACAAAATGGTTTCACTCAATCGAAGTCCAATTACTCACTTTTCTTGAAAGGATCAGGACCGAACTTTATCGCCTTATTGGTCTATGTAGACGACATTGTTATTACTGGACCCAACATTGAGGTGATTAATTCTTTAAAGACTTTCTTGAGATCTCAGTTCAAGCTCAAAGATCTGGGAGTGTTGAAATATTTCTTGGGGATTGAGGTTGCCAGGTCTTCTTCTGGAATTGTTATTTCACAAAGACAATACACTTTACAGTTACTTGAGGATGCTAATTACATAGATTGCAGGCCTATTAATAGTCCTATGGATCCTAAAATTGCTCTTAGTCAACATGAAGGGGATCTTCTCCCTGATGCTTCTCATTATAGGCGTTTAATTGGGAACCTTCTCTACTTACCTTTGACACGCCCTGACATCACGTTTGCAGTACATAAACTGAATCAATATGTTTCTCAGCCACGAGTGCCTCATCTTAAAGCAGTTCATCATCTCCTGCGTTTTTTAAAGGGTCATCCTGGACAAGGTCTCTTCTT